GGGTTGCTTTTTCCAATAAACGTTGGTTACATTTCTTTATGTTATTTGTACCAGTAACTGGTTTATGGATGAGTGCTCTTGGAGTAGTCGGTCTGGCCTTGAACCTACGTGCCTATGACTTCGTTTCTCAGGAAATTCGCGCGGCGGAAGATCCTGAATTTGAGACTTTCTACACCAAAAATATTCTCTTAAACGAAGGTATTCAGACGGGTTCGGGTGGGAAAATAAAAAATCCAATTAGATTTCGGATATGGAAACCAAGCCTCGATTTTTGAGTTTCTGATTTCGGATTGTTTCGGGTTCGGATTGGTCGGGTTTCAGGTTGAGGTCGGTCAGTTTCGGGTTTAGTTATAATGAATATATATATATATATATATATATATATATATATCCAATCAGCTTTGACGATAAATTCAATCGATTTAGAGAACTGATAAATTGGTAGTATGCTTATAAACTAGAAAAGTGTATGACCGACTAAGAGTTTTTAAATTTAATTAGATAAATAAGTATATTTATATAGTAGTTAAAAAATTTATGTATATATATTTCGGGTTTTTGGATGAATCGGATAGCCAAAAATCAAACGCAACCCCAACCCAAATTTTCTATGAAAAATCGGTTTTCGGATTTTACACATCCTACCTACCTACGAAGATACACTTTTTTGTGCCTATTTTTCAAGTTTTCTTTATTTTTCAAAAAGTATTCTAGATATTTAATTAATTGTTAAACATATTTTTTAATTTTATTTGATAGATCAAATATTGTATTCTTTGTTTTTTTTATTAACTTCGATATCCAACCCGCTATGCGAGCTGACTAATCTCAGGACGACCACCTGCTTTGCAGATAGCCCGAAGTCACCGCATTTGAACCTCCATGGCCACAAGAGGATCTTTATTACTCATTGGATTTGAAACCGAGACCTCCAGATACATTTGATATTTGAAGTCAAGCTCAAACCAATCAGACACCATCCTTATGGTTTCAAATATTGTATTCTTTTATAAATAGATGAAATTGTTTTTACGTTAAAAGTCATAAAACATAGGCTAATTTCCCTAATCCTTTGAGGTTCAAGTTCGTAGTTGTACATAGTCCAAACCAAACCAAATAAACAACTAAACATGTTAAACGAAAATAAAAACTATATTTAAATGATGATTAGTTTAAAAAATTGCAATAAACCGATATAATTGGGTTGAGTTGATACTATGTAACATCAAACTAGTTTCGGCTATAATATATATTTATGTACAATTACAATTTAATATATAACATATAGTGATTTATAAATAATGGTGAGAGGTCTGTTTAGGGTTGGGTTCACATGAGACCAAATGTTTTTCGTGAGACCTATAAGACAATTTATGTTCATTGATTAACTTTATAAGCTAATGATCTAATGATGTAAAGTTGTATGGTGACAATTTTGTGATTATTGAGAAATCTCATGGCAATTTTGTGATTATGATGTTCATATTGTAGATATAATCCAAGGGTTGAGAATTGGTCTTACGGGTTTCACGAAAAACTCTTTGTCTCACATGATCCCAAGTCGGTCTGCTTATATTTAAGCATTTAATTAAACTTTTACATCATCGATTTTTATTAATACTAGAAGAGTATTCGCGCAATGCAGCGAGATACATCTTGATTTTAATATTATATTTTATTATTTATCTCAATCGATGTTATAATATGATCTTATGTGATTTTGAAAAAGCGATAATGTTTTTATTTTTGTAATAAAATATAAATTTGAAGATATCATAAAAACTTGACAAAAATATATAGATATTAGTATCAAATTAACTATTTAAAATTCCTCATTTTTTGTGTAATTTTTAATTCAATTTTTCTATTATAATTTAATTTAGGTTCAATAACGAAGTAATTTATATTTGGTTTAATAATACAATTTTTATATAAAGATAATAATTAATTATTTTGTTAGAACTCGATAATTATCCTAATTATATTTTAGATTTTTTATATTTTAAAATGAGATGTTTATTCTTTATTTGATTATGTTTATCCGCAGTTAGTTACACGAGTTCAAACATATATAGAACTTTAATAAGTTGTACTTGTGCATAATTTACTTGTAATCTTGAAATTTTAAGTAATATGCATCAATGTACAGTACTTCATGCATAAAAAATAGTTTTTAAGAGTTTTTGTCAAATGCTTTATAATATAGTATAGATAACAAAACAAAGTTAAAAACAGAAACCCAACAAATGTCATGGGTTCGAGATAAACCGCATGGGTAAATTACTTAATGTTAATGAGGGATTCATTTTTTAAAATTCTAATTTTATATGATTGGCCATGGAAAAAATATTACTGAAAGATACTTCAATATCTAAAAGACTAAAAGTTTCAAACTCTGGCTGTTAATTTTTGTTGTCGTCACTTATCGTATGGTAAATATTGATCTTGCCATGACCAATCATCATTTGATGTCATTGCCGTTGTTTCCCTTGCTATCGTTGTTGCCATTTCACTCATCATTACTTTGTGGAGGTGGGGTTTGGAAGACAGATGTTTATAAGAATAGGTTTGTAAGTCGGATCTTGACAGAGATTCGACTTGATCCATTTATGTAATCCAAAAGATCCACAAAATGATCCATGTGTATCTAAACTAAAATTCAACATACCAACCTTTTTAAATGGATCAGTACTTTTGAGTCGATGTATTTAAATATGATTTTTTTTTCATTTTCACTGACTTTTCATAATTCTATTACTGTTAAACCATCCACCCACAACCCCACATATCACTTTCATCCATCAAGAACAAACTTTGTCTGTTCGTTTTCGTTGTTGTCACTTGTCAGTTGGTAAATACTGATTATGCCATAAGCAATCATCACTTGATGTGTTGTCGTTGTTTCCCTTGTTATCATTGTCGCCATTTTACTCATCATTACTTCGTGGA